TCACTTATGGTAACATACAGGCACCATTACTCCTCCCTATCTGTGCCACAGTGGGGGAGAAAAAAGACAGAGACCAAGTGACAAGCTTTGCTTTCCTAGCACTGAACTGTGAATGTTCAGTAGCAAGAAAGGGGTGCAGGACATCAGAACTGGGAGGCTACAGTAGCTAAATTCCTGGTGTTCCTATGTTCCTGTTTATTTACTGGCAAGGCAGCCTTTGCACAGTTATCTAGGGTGTGAGCTGCCTTCTGCAACTCCAAATGGGAAGTTCCTTCTAGTCCCAGACAGTGTGACCTGAGTCATTCCTAATTATGCTTCTCTTTCCCATTTGTGTTACTTTTATTCCCTACAGATTGTTAAGGAATAATCTCTTAACTCTAAGTGCTTCATTTGTATTTGCTTCCAATCCATGAATTTAATTCTATACAATTAAAAAAGTCACAGAATACACATGAAGATTCATTTCATTCCAGTTCAGAAGGGAGAATTGCCAATACTAGTCCAAGGCTCTGGTGCCTCAGCTGCACAGGCCCTGTGTTACCGGAAGGGAATGGTACCAGATTTGTTTTTCACTGACAGTACTAGGACAGTGTTAGCAAAGTCTACAAAGGAAAACATCCCTGGGCTACAAATTTAAAAGGGCACAAACAAGTGACTAACTACACAAATTTGATTAATTTGATTGTATCTACTTGGGAATTGCCCTTTCAGATTTTTCTTCTTCAAGGAGCAGAAGCAAACCCCCTCCCCCAAATCCAGCATGAAATCTTGATCTTCCATTGTTACAAGTTCCTGTTGTCTTGAATTAAAGTAAAAAAAAGAAAGGGTAGGGTTTTTTCTTAAAGCATTTCCCACTGTATACTGAAATTTCCATAAGAAGAACTCCACATCTGATAAAGCTATCCCAGTAGGTGACCAAGCACTGAAACAAAAGAATTGCCCAGTGAGGAATCAGAGAGGGTTGAGTTTTTGCCATCAGACTTTAAATATTTTTAAAAGCCATGTCGGTCAATTGACATTTTATACATACTGGAAAGAATGGCACGTTAAGGTAAATGAACACATTGTGATGCCTTCCAGGGTTACACAGGTGACAACCTAACCTGGAGAGCCACAGATGCTTTAAGGAACAGTACATTTGTTTAAATAAACTCATAGAAAACTAACGTGAACAACCATAAAACAGTTTTAAACAGGTAAAACAAATAAACTGCAAAAATCCTGCACCTGCCATAAACATCCTCGGTGGTTCCACCACCTCGTGGCCAACACCAGCAGTGGTGCTGCCCAGTGAGGCAGGCAGTGGGCACTGGCAAGGCCAGGCACCACACTGCTGGGTTTTGCCCTTAGCCGATCCACTGAAAAACAGCAGCATTAACACACAGCCTGAAATAGCTTAGCTAACTACCTCAGCTCGTTAGAATTGTGCAAGGAGAAAGAACACCAGCAGCATTTGAATGGATGTGTTTCAATTTGGTTCCAACACTCCCCTCCCATACAAAGCACAAACACAAAGCTGACTCTGAGCTAGTAACTCTTATTTTTTTGCCCACCTTTGAAAACTTTTCCCTTTGTTTGCTTAACTTCTTAAAATTTTACTTAAAAACCTATTCAGTGTTAAAAAAATTCATGAGAATTTTAAAATAGTTTCTAAATGCCAGAAAACCGATGCTTATTCCTCTCCTTAAACTGGAGATACACAGACTATCCTAATCACCTGAATTTCCTTAGTTGAAAATGTTAACATTTCAGATTCACCTTCCTGAAAATGACATTTGTAGAAAGGTCCCTCCAATACACCAGAAACAGTGCACATGGAAAGGGTAATTTTTTTTGCTATTTGCTCTTGTGTTGTTTATACTGTACCTTTTGATATAGAAAATGAAAGAGTTGGGTTTGCTGACACAACTCACAAGGGAGAGTTGCAGAGAAGAAATCAGGAGACCTTCTCTAAAGCCAAGTTTTGCATTTCCCTTTTTGTTTAAGTATCATAAGGCTTACATTAAAAAAAAAAAAAGTTAAAAAAAAACCCCCCAGAACACAAAAAATAAACCCCAAGCAAACAAAAAACCCCAACCAACATCCCTGGACACATTTGGAAGTATTTGGAAATACTTAATTTTTTGAACACATAAGACTATTTGAAAAAACTTAATTGCAAAATTAAAGAAAATTCAAGAAATCAATTCTTGTATTTCAAAGCAGTCCATGATTTCAGCACCAGCAATATGATGCATTATCTCTTCCAGCCCAAAATTACCAGCTTTGGGGAAAACAGACTCATACTTAACAGAAAT